TATGGAATAAATAAGTTACTGCAACTCTCTGTAACTCTTTTTAATTGCTTAATTTGTACTATGCAAATACAGGCAAAGGGCTGGATCTCTCACATTGGTCTGTCAATTCATTTATTACACTAAAGAGTAATTATTGTTGTTGTTTTGTTTTTTTTTTTTTTTTTTTTTTTTTTTTTTTTTTTTACTACTGTTAAAGCAGCAGCTATCTTTACTGTTTATTGCTGGAGATAGTTATGTGGTAAGAGGTGTTAAGTCAGAGGTACTGACAACAAAAGAAGAAGAGGAAAAGAAAATAATGTCAATGGTCTTAAAGATAACCACTCGGGGCGCCTGGGTGGCGCAGTCGGTTAAGCGTCCGACTTCAGCCAGGTCACGATCTCGCGGTCCATGAGTTCGAGCCCCGCGTCGGGCTCTGGGCTGACAGCTCAGAGCCTGGACCCTGTTTCGGATTCTGTGTCTCCCTCTCTCTGCCCCTCCCCCGTTCATGCTCTGTCTCTCTCTGTCCCAAAAATAAATAAATGTTGAAAAAAAAAAATTAAAAAAAAAAAAAAAGATAACCACTCAAAAATAATTCATTAGTTTACTTAACAAAGATTTATTAAATTGCAACTGTGTTCTGGAGGTCCAAGGGTGAGCAAAATAGACACAGCTGCTGTCTAAGACAGGCTATTGACATTGAAACTGGTAATTATGACTGTAAAGTGTATAACTTACAGACATGCAAATGCCTTGGAAACTTAAGGACATTTAACCTAGTCTGGGACACTGGAGAGTGCTTCCCTGAGGAAGTGACAAGTCCTGATTATTGGTTGCTGTGTGGCAAAATACTCCCAAGCTTAGTGCCTTACAATAATTTATTATCTCTCACAGTTCTGGGTTAACTAGGCTTAGCTGGATAGTTCTCACTTGGGATCTCTTATGAGTTGCAGTTGGACACTGACTGGGGCTGGAATCCTCTGCAGGCTTAACTAGGCTGTCATCCAAGATGGCTTCTCCACTCACATGCCTGTTGCCTCCCTGATGCAACATGTGACCTCTCTAATGGATAGCCTTATTTCCTAGGTATCAACTTAGAGCTCCAAGAGATAGGAAGCTGCCAGGCTGGGTAAGGTCTATACCTCAAAAGGGCAGAGCATCATTTCTGCACCCTCTGTTGATCACGTCCTGCCCAGATTCAGGGAGTAGAAGAATAAAGTCAGTTCTTGAGGGGGGAGTAACAAGGTCTCATTGCAGAGAATCATATGGGACAGAATTTGTTGTGTCTATCTTTAGAGAATACAGGTCTGTCACTTGATGTTAGGTTGAAGGATAATTTGGCATTAGGTAGGTGCAAAAGAGAGAGGGAGGGAATAGCCCGTCCGGCAATGAGAACAGCTTTGTGGATGGGCCTGGAGGTCAACAAGGTAAACCTCTAAGGAGGGACTGAAAGGCCTGTGTGACTGAGTGGAGGAAGAACAGAAAAAGTGGCATGAGAGTGCTGGGTCCCATAGAGAAGAGTAGAAGTGTAAATGCATATTTCCATCAGAAAGGAAAGGGAGTAGCTGCATAAGTTCCAAACAGAGGCTTTGGAAAGCATTAAATAGTGAAAATCAAAATTCCTAGAGTAGGAAGAACAGGTTAGCCTAGAGAAGCACTTGGGGTGGAGTGGGTGTGGGTCAGGGAAATCTTGCCCCACATCACATAGCTAATATGAGACAACTGGGGTCTGAGCCCGGAGCTGACTCTAGTTCAGACCCTTTCCACTATATTGCTCACCACACTGCCTATGGAAAGTCACTTAATAAACTTGAAAATCCCTTGCTAATCAAAATGTAATTTATGCTTTCTAGTTTCTTCCTAGCCATCCAGGCAAATACCTTCTAAGTTTTCTAAGCTCAACTCAGGACACCTTCTTTTGAAGACTTTCCTAATGCATACAAAGGTGTCCATGTGATTTCATGATGTCTCGGCTGCAGTGTCCCCTTCTGTGAAAGATTGGGGTTGGAAGGATGACTTCAAAGTTCCCTTCTTTGTCTAGCAGTCTATGGTTTTAGGATGTGTGGGGTAGAAGTGTTCTACAAGTTAGCTGTGATGGCCACCAATGGTTACATGCTTCTAACCAGCCTATGAATACCTAAACAGGTAGCACAAAGAGTGTATTTCCAGATATTTTGACTTGAAAGAAAAAAAGAAAGAAAGAAAGAAAGAAAGAAAGAAAGAAAGAAAGAAAGAAAGAAAGAAAAAGAATCACTTTGAAGGCATTTACTCTCTTTCTATTATGATTAAAGACTGAATTTTAAGCACTGGGTAAGAAAAGGGATATGCATAATATAATCTTAGTCGAATAACTACCTGCTTTGCACCTTGGTGCATCTTTTATTAAATGGGAAACTTATGTTAACAAAGCAAAATTTGACAGAGTAAACTTGAAGATCAATTTGGCTGTATTCAATAATTCATGAATCAGGTGACATCCCATGTTGTAATTAGAAAGCTTTACAAAATGGAAAGCTTTTATAGGTAGAAGGGGTGGGAAAACTAAAGTTTCTAACAAAGAGTGGCTTGTTTCAAGCAAGGTCACCTTTCTTTAGGGGAAGGGCAGGGATCTATTAGGCAGATAACCTCACTAGTGCTGATCTGGTAATTCCAGATTGACTGGTTAAAGGTTACATTCCTGGAAGAGGCTGAATGTGCAATAAGGTTAGATATTAAGTCTTGATTTGCTGATGTCACTTGGGCTCCACCAAGTGACTCCATTTTGGGCCTTTTTATGTAAAATATTTATTTATTTATTGGGAGCGTGCAAGCGGGGGAAGGGCAGGGAGAGGGGAACAGAGGATCTGAAGCGGGCTCGGCACTGACAGGCTGACAGCAGCGAGCCTGATGTGGGGCTCAAAGTCAGGAACCACAAGATCATGACCTGAGCCGGAGGCCTAACCGACTGAGCCATCCTTGGCTTTTTTTTTTTTTTAATATATTTTATTATGTTCATCTGTAATTTTAGTAAAGAACTGAATGTTTTAAAATTTATAATGTATTTCTTTTTCATAGCCTCTGGTGTAGAAGATGAAACTGAAAAGTCCCATTTTTCAAAATTACAGAAGTGGTGAAACCCTGTTGCACAATTCAAGAGACTCAAGGCTTAACTGTAAACACAGGAAAAGAAACCCTGTTTGCAACTAGAAAAATATTATAACTGATGTTTATCTCTAAAAGTCAATCATTGCCTGGCTTCATGAGGGCTAACATAATGACGTATCAAAATGTAAAATGGAGACAAATTCATAGTCATTATCACTTTACAGGAGGTTAACCAGAGTTCTTGTGAACTGCAAACCTCTTGACACATTTTAAAATAAAGGGCTCTATATACTAGTTTAATTTACATACATTAAGCAATGTAGATTGGTGCTGTTGATTTAAATGTAATGGTTTAAAGACCTAAGTGCTAAAAATGATTTTAATTAACCATAAAATTGTGCAGTTTTAAACAAAAAAAGCACATCTATGAACCTTTGCAGCAACATGCAGAGGTATTGCTAATTGCCCAATTTTACCTACTTGTAAGTAGTTAAGGGCAAAAAACCCTTGCGTAGTTGTTTTGTTTCTTCATTCATTTCTTTGGTACAAATACAAAGGTGTATGTGACTATTGAGCACATGAGATGTGATAGTACGACTGAAAAACTTTACTTGATTTTTATTATGAATTGAAATTGAAATAGCCATCTATGGCTAATGTCTACCACATTGGACAGCATCTCTGTCAAGGTCTGTGCTAATTTGGCCTGACCTTGGAGATCCAGTCTTTCCCAGAGAATGAGTTAGTGCTCACATAGAATATTTTCTGCCCAGCCCCGAGGCTGGACCTGTACTCCTAGGCCAGTCCTCAAAGCCTTAGGGAGTTGAGCCTGGAGCCTTATTTTCAAGATGAGTGGAGGAATTCTGTAGTCCAGAGGCATTCATTAGGTATTACATAATCCACACCTGGGAAGCACAGACACAGTAACATTTGGGTTTAAGAAAAGGGCAGAGCCTCCCTCTGTCCTTACCCCTTGCACTTTTTTAGAAAGTTCTTTTTTTAAAATGTTTATTTATTTTTGAGAGGGAGAGAGAAGGAGGGGCAGAGAGAGAGGACAGAGAATCCTAAGCAGGCACCATGCTGACAGCAGTGAGCCTGATGTGGGGCTGGAACTCACAAACCACAAGACTGTGACCTGAGCTCCAGTCAGATGCTCAACCAGCTGAGCCACCCAGGCACCCCTTCCCCTTGCATTTTTTAGCCTGATACACCATCAGAGCTTTCAAAGTCTGTGGAAGGACTCATGCATTTTTGAATTTAGACCGATTATGACGTAGGCCCAGACACAGAATTCTTAGCCTCATTGCTTCCTGTTTTAGGTCAACATATCACAGAGATTTGCCAGAACAGACTTTTCACAACTGTGCTCAAAGGCTTTTCTGTCTGAGTGAAAGCTATTGGCCTTAATTCCCTTTATCAAACATTCCACCCTGCTCTGTGTAAGTTCTGACACAAAGCCAGAAGTGATGTGTGCTCTTGACAGTGGAGCCTCTGTGTAGGTGTTGTCCACTTTGTGCGTGACTACCGTAGAAAGATGTAGAGATGTGGAAATAGCTGGGCAGATTCGTGTACTATAGAATACAGTGAACCATGTGCCAATGTTGTGCTCTTTCTTTTCTTCCAGGAAATTAAGGATTGCGCAGCATTGCTTTGACAAGCACATCCTGTTGTCTTTTCAGAGATCTCAATGAAGAATAATCTCAAAGGAACATTTGTCTCCCCATACCTCTGCTAATGGCCATTAGCCGCTAGCAAATGCTTTTAATGACCGAAAAAACATCAACTACCCTTGGTTTTGGTCTGCTTTAGGCAGTCTAATGAAGGTTTTTTTCAGTTGTTTCCAGAACTCTATTGCTGAAGCACCTCTCTTTGTTGGGTGAACGTTCATGAAGCCCTTTCCTGAAGCAGTGTAGAAGCTTAGGCCTCTTGGAGTCTATGACATGGAAGCCTTGGAAGTGGATGATATCAGCCCAGCCTTGGAAGTTACTGAGGATTTCTTCAGTACTTTTGATAGTAAGCTAGAAAAGGCTGTGCAGCAAGCTGAGGTTTATGGGATTCAGGAAGTCCCCGAATTGGTGGGGCACGAGGTACTAAGTACCATAACAGATAATGGTGCTATCAGAAATGTTGCCTCCCTGGGCAAGGGGGGCCTGATTTGGGACCACTGTAAGAGCAGGCGCTTAGAAACCAAAGCTCAAAATGTCTTCCCTGCCAAAGAACAGTTTGTGGTTCAGAAAGGGACAGCCCCAGATAATCTTTCCTGGATGGAACAAAAAGAAGCTTCAACCTTTAACTTTTTCAACATCTGTCAGCGTCGGAGGGACAGACCTCGATCCGTGAATGACTTACTGGATGAGACCTCTACTTTCAAGCCAGGGCATGCACGTTCAAGATCAGATATTACCCAAGTGGACTGGAGGCTGGTCCTCAAAACCATGCCTCTGCAGCGGCAGCAGCAGTCGTCTCTCCAGGTCCCTCATTTCACCAGGCCGTCCTTTCTGTCGTCCTTGCCGAATAAGGTAGAAGATGCTCAAGGAAATACTGGTATGTTTTGATATCTGACTGCTATTGAGCAGTTGTCGATTTTCCTTGGTCTCTATTACATTTACCTCATGAGAAGTGTATTGTCCAGGGTCCTTGTCTGGTTTTGCTTACTTAAGCTCCCTCTTCCATTTACTTTCACACTTCACCTCAAGCCTCAGTCTTGGTATCCTTATAAGAAGTGCTGAGTGAAAAGACAACTGCGGTCAAGTCTCCCCTTCTAATCTTGTGTGTTAGAATCTACACAGTCTCATAATTCGTGTGGTATTTGCCTTTGTACAGAGTATGCTACTGCTTATTAGCTTCACTAGATGTTTGTCAGATCACACATTGGGCATAGCCTTGTGCTGTGAAGGGTTTAAAGATCCATAAAGACACCATCCCTGCCTTAAAGAACTTCTCACTTGCAGAGGGGATCAGACACTAACAAACACTCAAGAAGGCACCAGCAGGGAGAGAAAGTAGTAGTCGTCAACTGAAATATTTGTGAAGGAACTTTTGTTTTACTTTATATTGTTGAGATTTCTTTCACTGAGAAAATGACAGTGACTCTAAGAGGGCAGAGGAAGGAGAAGACACTGTGGTGGGCTTGTCAGGAAGGGCTAATGAGAGTTCATGGAGCTTTGGCTGAACCATTAAAGATACTAAGATGCAGAAAGGGGATCGCAGTAGAGGACACTCGGGATTATGGTGGGAAAGAAGGTAAGGAGATGAGAAGTACCAGGGGGAGCAAAGGATCCCATGGTGGGTAGTGGGAGGAAAAGGGGGGGAGAGATTGGCTCAGACCTCATGGTGTAGGGCCTTGAATTTCCTTTTTTCTCATACGTCATACACATGCATGTGCACACAACTTCTGTGAGGCGTGACAAACCATCTCTTTGTTTCCCCCAGCTTTTTCTTTCAAAATAACCTCATTTATACAGGCTGTCTATTCTTGTCATTCCTATTTAACCTTTAATTTAGATGGCTTCTTCTCAGTTAATTGGGAATACTGTTTTATGTCCTTAACTGCTATTTTAATATTACTTTAGTCTCTATCCTTGCTTGGTATTCCATTGATACATTTAATATTTTAATTAATAAATTTAGTTTCTAAGTATAATTCGAAGAAGAGATACAGTTTAGTAAGTCTATTCAGGAAATGCAGTGTCCCTATCTGTGAGGTGCTACATTATTTTCACATCCAGTTCAAATCTATTCTTTTAAAATACTTCTTTCTCGGACTCACTTATTTTGCTTAGCATAATTCTCTCTCTCTCCATCCACTGATATGTGGAATTTAAGAAACAAAATAAACGAGCATAGGGGATAAAAAGAGAGGGAGGCAAACCAAGAAACAGACTCTGAACTATAGAGAACAAACTGATGGTTACCAGAGGGGAGGTGGGTGGGGGGATGGGTGAAATAGGTGATGGGGATTCAGGAGTGCACCTGTGATAAGCATTGGGCATTGTATGGGAGTGTTGAATCACTACATTGTACATCTGCAACTAATATTACACTGTATGTTAATAACTGGAATTTAAATAAAAACTCAAGCAAAGAAAAATAAAATATTTCTTTCTTCCCACTCAAATTCATGACTTATAATTCCTTTTCTTTTCTCCTTGACTTTCACCAGTCCTCTGTAGCATCTAGCCAAGGGTGGTGACCATGGGAGTAAAAAGACAAGGACATTATAAAGCACAGTACTTGGTAGCTGATTAGATATTAGGGGACAAACAAGTTGCTCTGACCCTGGTGCCTGGCAAAACGAGAGCTTTGCCTTGAGTTCATATATAAACAAGTATACTCGTTGATTTAACAAATAACCTCTGTTGATTTTTGGTGTCTTAAGAGTTCACGTAGATTTTTATCAGTAAAGCACCGGAACCATTCTAAAACCCTGGTGTAACCCAAGTTGAGAGGGTGTCGTATTTCCAGGTTTAGTTTTCCTGTCATTTGGATTGTTGGTGTAGGAGCTGGAGCTGCCTTAGATTCTCCAAAGGAACCTTGAGTATATGACACCCTGTGACTGTTGTTTTTTCAGTCTCAATTTTTAAAAAAGTTCAATACTAAATCATGTTGAAATGTGTGTACTGAATGGTATTTTGAAAAGTCTACTGTAACAGATGGCCTTTCAGGTATTGATATAGTATATAATCTGGCCATCTTTTGATCATCCACGGAATATATATCCTAGCAGGAATTAGCACAGTTGGGCAAATGGCATGCCAAGTTCCTAATACCTTTTCTTTCTGTCACACTCTGGAGAACAGGCAAGATAAATCATGTTTGTATTGCTTACCAGGTGAGGGGCAGGGGTAAGCAGGGAGTACCCACTGACTACGCGTTCTCAGGCTGCGGGTAGAGAAGAGTTTTAGATATGTGGCAGTCCCCCTCCCTGGTGACCATAATTCTCATGGCAAGGGGAAGGATGTGCCAACACACAAATGCACACTAGTCACAATCAGCCAAGATCTTTCAGTAAAGGTTACTTTAAAACCTTTGAAATTTGTGAGCCAAACTGAAAAATAGCCTGTTGTGTCTCCTGAAGAAATATGCCCCCAACGCAGAGGGAGACAGTGTAGTATCTTGGCTGGAGATTTAGGGTCAGGCCAGACCTCTCTTTTAACCTTAGACTCGCATCTCTGACTGCCTGGTGTACATCTCTGTTGGGATGTTCCACAGGCTCTTCAAATTCACAGTGTCCAAAAGTGACGCTCATCCTCTCATCTCCTACTCCTACTGTTCTAAAAATTAACAAGTGTTCATAAGAGTCTGGGGGCTCCTTAGAAGAAATAAAATTTAAACAGGTTTCTTTTGATGAGGTCAACTTGACGTTGTGTCTATCCCTGTCACTCTCTTAATTATTGGTTTGGTTACTGCATGATCCTGTGTTTTCTTCAGTTGATTTTTTTTCCCTAGCTCCTTTTCTGAGCTCACCTTGAGTACGAAGACTCACCAGAAGTGGTTCTTCTTCTCGTCCTCCCCTTCCTCCTCTTCTGCCTCCCTTATCCCCTCTCTTCCCTCCCATGAAAATAAACCCAAGGATCTTCTTCATTTAGGTAGGATCTCTGTGACTTCTGCTCATTTGGTGATGAATAACCAGGCTTTTGAGCCTTACTAAGGATAAATGTCACATTGAGTATAAAGCAAATCAGGTTCTGGCCTAATGAGGCCAGTAAAGGTTGAGGACGTGGATTATTGCCGTCTGTTTTGTGAGGTATATTGAGGAGGATGGCACCATGGATTGATGTTTTATGCAGCTGCATCATCATTTTTTTTTTCACATCATCTTTTTTTTGGCTATGCCTCCTTTTTATCATCACATCTTTTTTTTTCATCATCATCACATCATATCATATTTTTTTTCCTCATCTTTTTTTTTCCTCATATTTTTTTTTTTATCATGTTCATCGTCACGTCATCATATTATCACGCGCCGCATCTTTAGATCTTATATTTCTGCGCCATCTTTTAATAAAGCTATTCATCTTTTGTTTTTTCATCTTTGATTTTCATCATTTTGCCGTCATCATCATGCTCACATCGATGCATCATCATGCTTTTTTTTTTTTTTTTTTTTTTCATCATTTTTTTTTTTTTTTTTTTCGTTTGCATCGTTTTTTTTTTTTGCTGCATCATCATCTTTTTTTTTTTTTCGAGCTGGCCGTCATCGTTTTTTTTTTCGCCATCGCTTTTTTTTTCATCGGCTATGAGTCTTTTCATCTTTTCGCCTTCTCATTTTCATGTCTTTGATGTTTTAGATAACGTCATATCTTCCTTTTTCATCATGTTTTCATCGATTTCAGATGTCGCGCATGTTTTAATATTTCGTGCCATCGCTCGATGCCGTCATCATCATCATGTCGATCATACGACTTACTTATTAACTGACCACCAAGGCGGGGATGATTAGATGATTGGCTGGACGGTAATCTTGTGTTTAGATTGGTTCCAAAAATAGAAAGTGCTTCTCAGAACCATGTTTGGCACATTTGTAAACACCTAATAGATATCTTAAACATTTAATAATATTATTACAATTATTAATTGAATTTGAAACTCATCAATGAGAATCAGAGTAACACAACTGATGACTCCTACTTTTCCCTGGCATACCAACTGATGTGTTGCAGTAAATGGCCTCGCAATAAATATTTCTTAGATTGGCCTTCCTGAAGTGTGTTTTCTCATATTATTGATAGGTTTGTTAGTGGGAAGTAAGCCATTCATTCCCTCTCTCACACTGATTTAAGATCAACTGTTTACAGTTCTCCCGGTCAATGAGGAAGGGACTGTTTCTTACCGTTTCATCCTCAGTACTTAACATGGTGCTTTGAACATAGTTTATGCTCAAATGAATTGTTTAAGATGTAAATTGAATGAAAAAGATGTAATGCTGATAAGATAATTAACGCCAATAACCTCTTTAGCCAGTTCGTGTCATTCTAGAAAAAAACCCTCCAGCATCTTTTCTGAGGGCCTAGCGCCATCATCTAGCATTTCATACCTCGCACATCCTCTCTGTGAAGCTCTTTAGCAGCAGTGAAAAATGAAGATTTGCTTTCATCTCAAAGGCTGCCCTGCACTATCCTTGTGATAAGAGAAAATCAAACAGATACAGGTTGTAAAGCGGCCCCTGGTGTTGGCAAAATGTTGCCCTGGCCTTGGAGGAGTATTCAGATACGTCTCAGACTCCCGGGTCGCACAGGCACGGTTAAGCATTCCCCTTTGTGGAGGAACCTGACTGCTGCTTGGTGAGCACAAAGCCTGGTGCAATGATTATGCTTTGCCCTTTAGTCTTTCTGAAGCTGGCAATCATTTGAAGTAATTTTGCATCACTCCTCAACTTTTCCCTGTTCTCTGTTTCTTTACAGAAGGTGATTACTTTGGATTTGAAGATCACTTCTTCCCTAGGTTCTTGCTTGGAATATATGAGAGCAGAATCCGTCAAACAGATTAACAGCTTACTTGTCACTGTCAGAGCCAACAGCCAAGCACCAGTGCTTGTCCTCAGG